CATTATAAAATAAACTTTGTATTCAGTGATTTTGCCCAACTGTAGGCTAATGTAAGTGCTTTTAGCACGTGCAAGGTAGGCTGGGCTAAGCTATGATGCTCATTAGGTTAGGTGTTTTAAACAGTATTTTCAACATGCAATGGTTTTATCAGGTTGCAATCCCATTTTAAGTCACAGGTCTGTACTGCAAATGACTTATTCAAGAGGAGCCAACTGCTCACAGGTGAACATTCTTTACACCTTCTGAATATCTTTAACACTATAAGGAACATTTAAATAAATGAATCAAGCCATCAGAGTATTTGCCATCTCCAGGGGAGGGACACAGGCTTGTAAAGAACAATGTGAAAATAATATCCAATACTATTAGCAAAGTACAAAATGCTGTGGGAGCATCAGACAAGGGATTAGCTGGCTATCTCCAGAGGTAGAGTTCATTGAGAACTCCTAGCTTTTTGACTATGAAACTAATTCTTTCACAAAATTTGAAAAAATTTTTATGTACACACACACACACACACACACACACACACACACACGATTTATGTCTAAACTTCATCTCACAAATTTGGTATATAGAACCTAGAATGTTTAGTTCTAATATTGCATTGTGATTTCCTCTTTAACCAGAGTTCTTTAGTGTATTTTTAAAGTTTCCAAGCCTAGGAAGTTTTGTTTGTTGTTTAAAGTTTTCTTTTTTATTTCTAAGTTAATATTTCATGGTAGAAGTTGGATCACAATGAAATGAACTTTAAAAAATATGTGGAGACTTCATTGTGCCCTATTACATAGTTAATTTTTGTAAATGCTCTGTGTTTAAAACTGATGTTATTTCTGGGGTGCCTGGCTGGTTCAGTCGGTTAAGTGTCCGACTTCGGCTCAGGTCACGATCTCGCGATTCGTGAGTTCAAGCCCCGTGTCAGGCTCTGTGCTGACAGCTCAGAGCCTGGGGTCTGCTTTGGCTTCTGTGTCTCCCTCTCTCTCTGCCCCTTCCCCAACTCACACACTGTCTGTCTCAAAAAGAAATAAACGTTGTTAAAAAAAAAAAAAAACAAAACTGAGGTTATTTCTCATACAAGGTTTTCTGTTGGGTAAAACTTATAAATTTTTTGTTCACATCAAATTATTAATGCTTATTATTGTCTGCTAGATGAATACATTTACGAAAGGTGTGCTAACTACCCAACTAAAATATGGTATATTTATTTTGGTCATTTGGGTAACTTTTGCTTTTCATAGCACAAGCCTACATTGTTAGGTGTTTACAAGTTCGTGATTCTTAACTCTTCTTAGTTGATTCTTTTTATGGATTTTGCTATAAATTCTAACTTGTTCTCATGTATAGTTTATTTCACTAGGCTTCATTTGACAAATCTTTTTCCATCACTTTATTTGCATTGTTTAGTGTTTGTAGTCATGTCTCTTGTAAACTTTGTATAGTATGAACTTTTAAAATATCTGACAGTCTTCTGATTGTGTACTTAATTCACTATTTTATTATTTTCATCATTTTCTTTTTCTGCCTTCAGATGGATTGGTACTCTTTTTCTTCTTTTCTTTCTTTCTTTCTTTCTTTCTTTCTTTCTTTCTTTCTGTGTTTTATTTATTTTTGAGAGAGAGCACAAGTAGGGGAGGGACAGAGGATCTGAAGCAGGCTCCGTGCTGACAGCAGTGAGCCTGATGTGGGGCTTGAACACACAAACAGCGAGATGGTGACCTAAGCCAAAGTCGGAAGCTCAACTGACTGAGGAACCCAGGCGCCCCTGAATTGGTACTTTACTATATTCCTTTTTTCTTCAGCTGTTTTAGAAATTATATATAACATCTTAGTGATTGCTGTTGATTTTTTAACCATTTTATTGAGATACAATTGACACACTATAAACTGTATATATTTAAACCTTACAATTTGGTAAGTTTTGACATATGTAGAAGATGGTGAAACCATCCTCAAAATCAAGATAATAAACAGACCCATAATGCCCCCAAATTGTCCATGCCCTTATGTTTTTCTCCTTATTCTTGATGCTAGTTTTACCATCATTGCTAGGTGTGGATTTTTACCATCCTCTCATGTAATGGAAGTGCACTTTTCCTTTTTTTTTAAATGTCTATTTAATTTTTTTAATGCTTATTTATTTTTGAGAGACAGACAGAGTGTGAGTGGGGGAGGAGCAGAGAGAGAGAGGGAGACACAGAATCTGAAGCAGGCTCCAGGCTCTGAGCTGTCAGCACAGAGCCCAATGCGGGGCTCGAACTCATGAACTATGAGATTATGACCTGAGCTGAAGTCGGATGCTCACCCGACTGAGCCACCCAGGCACCCCATTAAATGTTTATTTTTGAGACCACAAGCTGGGGAGGGGTAGAGAGAGGGGGAAAGAGGAGGCTCTGTGCTGACAGGAGCGAGCCCAATGTAAGGCTGGAACTCATGAACCCCGAGATCATGACCTGAGCTGAAGTCAGATGCTCAACAGACTGAGCCACCCAAGTGCCTGGTAGTGCACTTTTCATTTGAAGATTTTGGAAACCTCTCAGCCATTTTCAGGTATTGCTTCTCAGCCACTCCCTTCATTTTTTCCTTCTGGAATTGTTAGGTATATATCAGAAGCTCTCAATCGATTCTCTATGGATCTTCACTGCTTTCATACTTTTATTATTTGTATTTACCTATCTACTTCATTCTGGGTAAATTCCTAAAGCTTGTTTATTCTATTCGAGATTTTCATTCAATCAGTAACTTCACTTTCTCATTTCCAAGGTCTTTTTTCATATCCACCTATTTATCACTTCTGCTTATTTTTTATTTCCTAGTATTTTAAAATGTTATAATTCGTTTATATTTTGGTGAATCAAGCGCACTGGTTTTCAGGTATCTTCCAGGTATCTCTATTTAAATGTATACGGAGTGAATTCATCTTCTGATTTTGTTTTGTTGGCTCACTTAAACTTACATGTCTTTATGGGTTTTGGAATTACGGATTGCAGGATCATCGTGCATGGGGAGGAGTAGGGTTTGTGTCTGTGTGAGAATGTATGCACCTCCAACCGTTCTTGTTTAGCTGTCCTGTGACTGCGTCTGCCCAATTCCCTGGGGCCCTCAGGTCCATAATCAAGTCCTACATAGTTCAGTGCTCCCCCACCCCGCCCTGTTAGTGGGTACATCACAGATCCAGGCATTAAGCCAGAGAATGGCTTGATCTGGGTGGGAAAATGCAAAAACAAGATTAAACCCCTGCCCTGGCCGGAGTGCAGTCTCTGAGGGAAGCAGGCAGGTTACAGTTGAACACTAAGAGTGCTATTAGAGAAAGGGTGCTGTGGCATTGTGCACATACCTAAAATGCTGCTGGTGTGGAAACTGAAGGTGGAATGTGCAGGAGTCGGGAAGATGAGGGAGTGGTCATGAGGATATGACGCACTTGGGAAAGACCAGAGTCATTTGGTGAGAGTGAGGTTCATATTGTGAATAGGTAACAAGATTAAGCTGAAAAGGCAGGTCTGGGTCAGCTCAAAGGTTTCTTTCTGATGTCACGTTAGGGAGTTTACGTTTGTAATAAAATTGGAAGCTTATAAAAAATATTTTTTGAGAATAACGTTAGAGTTGGATATTAGGGAAATCAACCTGTTATAAGGGTAATGAATGCACTGCAGGAGAAAGCAGGAAAATCTGCCCATAAAAACACTAAATTTTTTTTAAAGTTGGCTTTGGGAGGAGGCAGCTGGGTGGCTCAGTCCGTTAAGCGTCAGACTCTTGATTTCAGCTCAGGTCATGATCTCATGGTTTGTGAGTTCGAGCCCCGCATCAGGCTCTGCGCTGACAGCATGGAGCCTGCTTGGGATTCTCTCTCTCCCTCTCTGTTCTTCCCCCGCTTGTGTTCTCTCTAAAAGAAATAAACAAACTTAAACAATAATTTTTTTAAAAGTTGGCTTCAGTCAGTGGTGATGGTAGAGATAAAGAAGGGCATTTGTTTGGGAGGAATTTAGGAGACAGATTGGGTGGAGGAAAACCTAGGATCATTATCAGATTTACAGCTTTGGGATTAGTTAGTATAATTTTAGAGGTGGGAAATACAAGAATGTAAGGAAGAGTGCAGAGTGAGGGTTGATATGGATACGGTCTTTTTTTTTAATTTTTTAAATGTTTACTTATTTTTTGAGAGAGAGAGAATGTGAGTGAGGGGCAGAGAGGGAGGGAGATACAGAATCCAAAGCAGGCTCCAGGTTCCACGCTGTCAGCACAGAGCCCAAGGTGGGGCTCGAACTCGCGAACCATGAGATCACGACCTGACCCGATGACGGATGCTTAACCGACTGAGCCACCTAGGCGCCCCTGGATGCAAAGTCTTATCTTGGGCATTTTGTGTTTGAGATGCCTGTGGAAATCAGAAATACTCAGGGGGAAGGTGAACTAGGGAGACGGATGTACAGATTTGAAAGTCATCAGCACCTAGGAGATAAGACATTACTGCACAAGTGGTGGCTCAGGAGAGGAACCGATGACAAACACGCACAGCTAGCAATGGCTGGTGGTGGCAGCGGCAGAGGAGGAAGTACTTCCTCCCCATTCTTGGTATTTCTTTCCATTTAGGAACACACAGCATTCTTAATCTCCGCGCCTCCTTATTCGCTTTGCTCAGGTCTACTAGTTAAGGTTAAATGAGGCCATAGGATTGGGGCCCTAATTCAATAGGGCTGGTATCCTTCTAACAAAAAGAAGAAACACCGGCGATCCCCCACTCCCACCCTGTGCACAGAGGAAAAAAACAACATAAGGACACAGGAAGCCAGCTCTCACCAGACACCAATCCTGCTGGCCCCTTGGTCTTGGACTTCTAGCCTTTAGATCTGTAAGAAAACAAATTTCTGTGCCTTAAGCCCCCCAGTCTGTGGTGTTTTGTTATGGCAGCCTGACCTAACACACATATAACGTAAGAAACTTTTATCCCAAGGAGCTTGATTACAAAACGGAGGAGGGAAAGGCTTAAAGGAAAAGGTCTAACCTGAATTTCACGGCAGGATGACTAGAATGCTTTCAAAGAGTTTTCCTTCCTCCAGTCTCTCCACTCACTAGAACAAACGTTCTGGAGCTTTTCCAACAAGTTCACTTGAACAGACTGTCACTCAGTAGGTGTGGGAAGGGTCCCTGGGGCCTGCGTCTTCCACACGTATCCCAGGCGAAGGCACGGCGTTGTCCTGAGGTGTGCTGGTGAAGAGGCCGCCGAGGCTGACATCCAGCCCACACGCGCCCTGGCACAGGTTAGAGGAAGCGCATTTTTCTTTGCACAAAGACACCACTGACTCGCCAAGAGGCTTGCACCTACAGGAGTGTACCAACCAGACGTTGGTTCTCGTAGAGACACTGTGACTTGTAGGGTGTCCTTGATTCCAGCTGATTCTGACTCAGGTGATCAGCAACCACCGTGTACTACAGCAGTGGAATTTTCCATAGGCCCCAAAGATTCCCTAAGGAAGCACAGCCGTACATTTTTGTAGGAATGATGTTAAAAGACTGACAGTCCATGAGACAGATGAAGGTTCGCTAGAACAGGCTGGAAAATCGCCTTAGAATGATCGATTGGGCCACAGAACAAAAAACGGAGTGATGTCTTGGACTGGCAATATTTTTTCCTTTGGTATTTACCCAAAAGCCCCCAATATTAAGGCAAGTATGTCTCCTGGAGAATTGACGTATACTACTGAAAATGCAGAGGGGTTAGTTACATCATTGCTTGTTACCAACAATGGTGGATTTTTCGGTGATTTAAATTAAACCAGAGAGAAACAAAAATTTATGTGCACCATCATTAACAAAGGAGATGGTAGACAACACTTATTTTTGGTAATATAGAGAAACTCCCCCGCGACACAGATGCTCTCACCATGTGAGAGAAAATGAAAATTCACTATATGAGAAAAAACTGAAAGTCTCAGTACAAATTTAAATAAGGAGGCCTGATAATAGAAAGCAGACTGAGGCGTCTGAGGGGAAACATTTCAGTCTGTAACATTTCTTCAATCGAGCTGTGGTTTCGGAATTTCTTTTATTGTTATTTGAGAGAGAGCGCGCGCGAGTGGGGGAGAGGGGCAGAGGGAAAGAGAGAGGTAATCTTAAGCAGGCCTTAGGCTCGGCGCAGAGCCCGAAGCGGGGCTCGATGCCACGACCCCGGGATCATGACTTGAGCTGAAATCAACCACTCAACCGAGCCACCCAGGTGCCCCAAGGTTTCAGAATTTAATAAAGGTATTACCGTGCTCTTGGATGACGCTGCTAAAAACTGCCGGAGTGGCGGCAGAGTCGAGTGTTTCTTCCAGAACCGGCAGGCCTGGTCCACAGGAATCACAGAGGGGAGACGCCTCTTGTGCCTGGATAATTGGGGACCTTTGTCAAGGAGCTGTCACGCCCTGCCTGCTGTGCATCTGGCCAGCGTATGTGAGGCCGGTGTCCCGTGAATCCCTTATCCCCCTTCTACCGTGGATCCGACAGAGCTGCTAACGCCACCTAAGCGCTGTCACTGCTGCCTTTCTGCGTGGCCTGGCCTAGACACTGAGGGGCTTTGCCCTGGCATGTACGGCCATATGGGTGTTGAGTGCTCCCATGTACGTAAAGCTCCTTCCACACTCGTCACAAGAAAAAGGCCTCTCCCCTCTGTGATGGTGCAGGTGGGTCTTCAGACTTCTCTTCTGGAGGAAGCCTTTGCCACATTCCGGACACCCGAAGGGCTTCTCTCCACTATGCGTGTGCAAGTGGACCTTCAGGCTTCCCCGTATGCAGTAGCTCTTGTCACACTCGGGACACCGGAAGGGCTTCTCACCACTATGGACTCGAACGTGTTCGGTGAGCCTGTACCGCTGAGTGAAACTTTTGCCGCACTTAACGCAGGAGAACGGCTTTTTGTCACTGTGCTGGAGCAGGTGGCTTTTCAAATTCCCTTTGAGACGGAAGCTTTTATTGCACTCAGGACACCGGAAGGGTTTCTCTCCGCTGTGGAGTCTCTGATGTTCGGTGAGCTGAGACTGCTGGGTGTAGGTCTTCCCGCACTCGCTGCACGCAAACGGCTTCTCGCCCCTGTGTATCCGCTGGTGGAACTTCAGGGAGGCCTTCCAGAAGAAGCTTTTGTCACACTCAGGACACCGGAAAGGCTCCTCCCCACCGTGAAGCCTCCTGTGCGCGGCGAGGTGCGAGTGTCGGCTGAAGCTCCGGCTGCACTCGGGACAGGAGAACGGCTTTTCTTTGGCGTGGACCTTGAGGTGCTCCGTGAGCCTCGACTGCCGAGGGAACGTCTTTTTGCACTCATCGCAGGAGAATTCCTTCTGCCTGTTGTGGACTCTGCTATGGCGAGCGAGCTTCGAGGGCCGGGTAAACCTCTTGCCACACTCCCCGCAGGAGAACGGCTTCTCCTCGCTGTGTAAACGCTGGTGGGCCCTCATGGCGTTCTTCCAAGAGAAGCTCCTGTCACACTCGGGACACTGGAAGGGCTTCTTCCCACTGTGCTGAAATAGATGGGCTTTGAGGCTTCTCTTCAGGCGGAAGCTCTTCTCACACTCGGGACACCGGAAGGGCTTCTCTCCCGTATGAACTCTGATATGTTCAGTGAGTTTCGTCTTGTGCGTGAATTTCCGACCACATTCGTCGCAAGAAAACGGCTTCTCTCCACCGTGGATCCTCTGGTGGGCCTTCACGGCAGCCTTTCGGGAAAAGCTTCTGCCACACTCCGGGCAACGGAAAGGCTTCTTCCCATTGTGTCGGCAAACGTGGGCCTTCAAACTTCTCCGCAGGCGGAAGCTTCTGTCACACTCTGGACACCGGAAAGGCTTCTCCCCAGTGTGCACCTTGAGGTGCTCCGTGAGCTTGCACTGCGAGACAAAACCCTTGCCGCACCGCTCACAGGAAAACGGTCTCTCCCTTTTGTGCAAACACAGATGCTTCTTCAGAGTGGCTCTAAACTGGAAGGTCTGGTCACACTGGGGGCATGGGAGGGGGCGCTGGCCCGTGTGAACAACCTGGTGAATGATCAGGCTGCACTTCAGATAGTAGCTCTTCTCGCACTTGCCACACTGGAAACGCTTCTTCTTACACAGGACCGGCCGGTTCCACCGGAGTTCAGAGCTCCCTCTGGATTCATTTTTGTGCTGTGGATATTTACAGAGCTGGCTCTTGGCGTGGTTTCTTTTGTGCTTTACCAAGTCTCTCTTTACCTGGAAGACCTTCCTACAGACAAAACAGGAATAAAATCTTGGCCCCGGTGGAATTTCCAAGTGACCTGGGGTACCTACCCGCGTAGGCCATGGATCGTTCTTATCCCGATTAGAGGATATGCTGTCAAGGTTTTCATGTGGAATCCCTATTTCTTGGAGACTTGGGTGCCGTAAGGTGGCTCTTTGATTTGGTAAGATCTTTCTTTCCTCCCCTGGGAAGGTAGCACACGAACCCTGCCTTTGGAGGCCATTTGAACGGCATTCTTCCTCTTCTGCCCCAAGATTTCCTTGGTCACCTGGAGAGAAAAAAAGAAGACCCACCCTTATCAATGACGTGTCTGTGCTACGATGGGGTCAAGAATGGTCTTCACGTCACTACCAGCACGGGAAAAGGAATCCCATTGATCTTGACGAGCTTGTGTATCTGCTTGCCACAGGCCAAGTATATCTAACTGTGACGTGCAAATTCTTCCATCAAGTGTTAAGAAATGGCTGCGTGTGGAAAAAAAATTGCAGGCAAATACATCTTGTGAACCAATGGATTATCCTCAGAGAATAAGCAGAAGTTGAAAGAAAATAAAAATGAGCTAGTCTGAGAATATGACCATTCTATTCTAGTTCCTTAAATCTGTGAAGTAAATCACATAATACTGAAGTATAAAGGCTTTGGGTCATATTCTTGCCCCTTCTACTACAGATTTCAGGAAAAGCTTTCTGGAAGAAATGCTAATAAAAAATATCTTTCTTGGCGCCTGGGTGGCTCAGTCAGTTAAGTGTCCAACTTCAGACCAGGTCATGATCTCACAGTTCACGAGTTCGAGTCCCACATTGGGTTCTCTGCTGTGAGTGCAGAACCCACTTCAGATCCTCTGTCCCCCTCTCTCTGCCCCTCCCCCACTTGTGCTCCCTCTCTCAGAAATAAACATAAAAAAAAAAGAAAGTATATCTTTCTTAAGAATGTCAAAATGACAATTTACTAAATTTCACAAAGAACACTATGGAAATAATGCCCTTTTCCAAGGAACTTTGCATTGTAAGAAAGATATTAATAGACGCATAGTCACTGCTGTTCCCAGAGCAAAAACCATGATGACAGGAAATGGGGAGCTGAGCTCGCACCGTATTCTCACCCGCAAAAAACTGGAGCGGTCAATTCCAGATGCTGGCCTGAGCTGATGTATTTCAGAACCGCTTTTTCTCCTACCTGTTGAACTGGGTCCTAGGCCTCTCCTTTTTTAAAATCTCTTAACACAGGAGGAAACCTCACCTGTCAGGAAGGGTGGGCCTGCCCCCAGAGAATTCTGATTATGCTCTGTGGTCACTGTTAACAACAACAGGATGGTGTCATTTACTAAGTTAGCACTCCATAGCTAACGTCTAGGTCATGGCAAAAGCGTGCTTACCTGTCTCTTTGAACTCTATTTCTTATCACTTACTATTTATTCCAGGCAGAGGAGCAGTTGTGATTATTGGGTGAGTACCACCTGGCACGAAGGGAACATTCGTTTTTAGGGACAGCCACCAAAGTTGGCTTTGGTACTCAAAAACCTTTCTGGGTCCTCCCTTTCTAAAGGATGAAATCAAACTTCCTCCTTGGGATTTCTGGCCCCAGCTAATCTGACATCATGTCATGTTTCCCCTTCTCCACCTCCCATACGCTCCCAAGAATCACATTCAGCTATACATTTTCTAAACACAATGGGCTTGTTCCCACCTTTGAGACAGCTCATGTATAACCCCTGCTGATCTTCTCTAACCAAATCCGTCCATTCTTTGCTATTTAAATCCTAATTCCTTTAGAAGGCCTCCTGGGAAACTGCTGTCTCTACTCCACTCACTCTCCTCTAAATCCCTATACAACTCCTACTACCACTGCCACTTACTATTTTATTAAATTGTACACAGTCCCATCATATAGATGACTAGTCCAACAGTTCAATATGATCGACTAACTTAACTGCCATCCCAGGTGAGCACGAAGACCAAATCCTCCAGCGGAACATATATATGGGTATATGTATGTGTCTCCTTCCCACCCCCAGCCTGAGTAATAACTAACACAGTCCTATGAACATGGTAGGGACTCAATGCTCGTTAGATAAATGAATAATAGACATTGGCAATGAAATGAAGTCTTTGGGAATTCTTTTTTTGTTTTGATGGAGCTAGCCCATATGTTCCCTGGGCTCAAATCCCTTCTTCTTAAGGGGAGTCCTATGACTTCCAGGGACTTAGATCTCCATTTAATAAAACATTAGCATAGTCTAAAAAATAACATATTCCCTTAAGCATTTAAAGTATTTCCAACGTTTTTCTTGTGATACAAGGAATTCAAAAAGGAATCCTTCTGGGGCAGCTGGGTGGCTCAGTTGGTTGAGCGTCCAACTTCGGCTCAGGTCATGATCTCACAGCTCATGAGTTCGAGCCCTGTGTCGAGCGCTCAGAGCCTGAAGCCTGCTTCTGTGTCTCCCTCTCTGCTCCTCCCCCACTGCATTCTGTCTCTGTCTCTCTCAAAAATAAACATTAAAAAAAAATTTTTTTTTAAAAAGGAATCTTTCAACAGGATTTTAGAACTCAAGTTCTAAAAATCTGTACAATAAAAAAACAGTATGTTATACCAAATTGGACGGTTTTCCATTTCTCTATACTCAAATGGACACAGTAGTGTCATGGGGAAGATGGCTGTTCCTCAGGACTTGACAAGTGGGTCCTCAACTTGTTCTTTTACAGGGAATTCTTCTTTCCAGGGTCATAATTTTTTTTTTTTAACAAAACATACACAATTTCCCTCCTTATAAAAGTAATACGTTCTTATATTGGCTTCCCACTTGAGGAAAAAAAGAACACTCTCCATCAAAACAATGCTTATTCACAACGTCCAGCTGACTATCCACAAAGATAAAAGAAATCAGTCATGACCCTAAATCCATCATACTCACCAAAATACAGCAACTTTCCAGTCTTCTGCGTGCTGCACTGCTCATCAGCAGAAGGGCTAAGTGTCATTCTTTTCTCCAAGGGTCCCTGGTCTCTGATTAACAGCGTTCTCCCTTGTTCCATCCAAGTGATCAAATCTGGCTTGGAAAAAACACCACCTGCAAAGACAGTCCACATAGACTCAATCTGGATTTATCTGAGTTCTTCACTGAACATGATTATAAGAGTTGACTTTGATTCCTGAAGACAGGACATCAAAGTTAAGTTAAAAAAAAAATGGAAACCCGGGGCGCCTGGGTGGTTCAGTCAGTTAAGCGTCCGACTTCGGCTCAGGCCATGATCTCACAGTTCGTGGGTTCGAGTCCCGCGTCGGGCTCTGTGCTGATAGCTGAGAGCCTGGAGCCTGCTTCATATTCTGTGTCTCCTTCTCTCTCTGCCCCTCTCCTACTCGCGCTCTGCCTCTCTCTCTCTCTCTCTCTCTCTCAAAAATAAATAAGCGATAAAAAAAAAATTGAAACCCTTGAAATTACATGAATGACAACAAAATATAGCCTAACCAAGACTGCTTAGCTTAAATGTTCTCTGAAATGTTTCATAAAACTAAAGGAGATGGGGAAGTTAAGGACAATGATTTTTACTTTTATTTTAATGGTTATTTATTCTTGAGAGAGGGAGAGACAGAGCCCAAATGCGGTAGAGGCAGAGAGAGAGAGGGAGACACAGAATCCAAAGCAGGCTCTAGGCTCTGAGCTGTCAGCACAGAGCCCAATGCGCGGCTTGAACCCACAAACTGTGAGATCATGACCTGAGCCGAAGTCAAACCCTTAACCAACTGAGCCACCCAGGTGCCCCTGGACAATGATTTTTAAAAGGCCAACAGACCCAGGCAGAAAGTCTTAAAAAATGATCATTATGAGAACAATGTGAGTGCAATAAAAAGCAAAATCACAGGAGGTCAAGAAGGGAGCCTGATCACTAAACACTTCTGACTAGACTCCCCATATTCAAGGACGCTAACTACTGAGGTGCAGTGAAGGAACCAGGAAGTTGTTAAATGATGGCAATGATGAAGGGAGAGAGAGTAATGTGTCTAATGACATAAGCATGAAGGGAAGAAGGACAGTTCTAAAGTAAAGGAATGATTTTAGAAGATCCAATGGATGCCCTGTAGTAGTGTCACCCACCGCTGAGACCTTGGATCAAGCGTTGGCAGCACCTGAAGGGCTTGTGAAAAATGTGGACTCCTGGGCCTGAGGCTGGACCTGCTAAATCCTAATCTCTGGGGCTAATATCTGGATGCCCGTACAGAAAATCATTTGTAAGTAATGCCCTTTGGGTTTTAAAAAGTGGGAAAATCAGACTGGAATTTCCAAGCACAAGGACACTAGTTGTGATAACTCCCAACTCAACCCTGGATAAGCACGTAGCTCGAGTTTCTCCTACCTTACTGGACTGAGACTGTTCTGCTTGACCTCCAAATGTTGAGGTGTCCTGGGGCTCTGTCCTATCTACATATTCTCCCTAGATGATTCCACCTAGCCCTGAGATTTCAAACACCATCTTGGGCCACCTGGGTGGCTCAAGTCGGTTGAACATCCGACTTCGGCTCACGTCATGATCTCACGGTTGGTGGGTTCGAGCCCTGCGTGGGGCTTTGAGCTGACAGCTCAGAGCCAGAAACCTGCTTTGGATTCTGTGTCTCCCTCTCTTTCTGCTCCTCTCCCAGTCATGATCTCTCTCAAAAATAAACATGAAAACAAATTTTTTTTAAACACCATCTATACAGTGACTCCAAATTTGTGAATCCAGCCCTGATCTTCACTTGGAATTCCACTCTTGCGTACCCAACTATAAATATTTCCATATAATGTCTAATAAATATCTCACACTTAAGGTCCTTTCCCCAAGCGTTCCTGATGTCATCGAATAAAGCCACTGGCTTCAACATACTCAAGCCAAAAATCTACGAGTTGATTCTTCTTTCACTTTTAGGCTCAACATCCAACCCACCAGCAACATCCGGGATGCTACGTCCGAAAGACATTCAGAGCCTTTCTACTTCTACCTTTATCGCCACCTACCTCGTTCAGCTGCCATGAAGCCTCACCTGCACTGCTGAGGTTCTTGGCTGGTGTCTCTCCTTTCATTGCTGTGCGCTACAATTCATTCTCCCCATGGCAACCCAAGTAATTAATTGTTCCAACAAATTTTGTCTTACTAGTCCTGTATAAATCCTCTCATCACCTTCCCTTTGTATACAGAACTAAATCGAACTCTGTACCTTGACCTAGAGGCCCCTTCCAGACTTGGCACCACAGTTCTCATCTCCTAGCCTTCTCTGCATGTGTGACCAGCCTTAGCGTGGTTCCCATCACACAATGAGCTCATGCACTCCAACCCTTAAACTTCTGCACTAATCTTCCCTCTGCTTAGAATTTTCTTCCCTCTGATTTCACACAACTGACTCATCTTGTCATCCCTATCTCAGATAGAAGAGATTATAAACCCCAAAAGAGGGAGAGAATCCTACAGGCTATATTGAGATCACCTGTTAAATTGGTAACGGTAGAAATGGTTTTAATGATGTAAGAATGAGTTAGAGCAAGTTGGATAAACGGCAAAGTATAATCTCAACTTTCTCTTCAAATCTACCCCATGAGTATCTCTCTGGGTATACCTAAGTGTCCCATCCCACCGCCCCTTCTCCCTCTACCAGGGAACTTTTCCCCCAGTTCTTACAAGGACAGAAAACTCATCTTGTTGAGGCAACATAGGTAGGCACCAAAGTATCAGTTTAAAAAAAAGGATACACTAAAAAAAAGAGAGAGAGAGGCAATGAGGTTATTTAGTAATTCTAACTGTGGGACAAACAAGGGAGGTTTGGGGTGAAAGAGAATTCTGAATTAATAAGACTGGGGGGGGTGCAGATATCACTAGATAAAATAATGACCTGTTAAATATTCCCAGGCCATAATAGGAAGTTCAGAAGATATTCTAAGTGGAAACTGGCCACAGAATCATACTCAATAGCTAATACAGAGTGGAAAGCCTAATAGTATTAGGCTGGTTCCCCAAAAATGATTTCTTTGAAGCCAATCCTACCCAGGGAATCAAGAGTCTCATAATTGGTCTTCATCACTTGCTGATACATTTCCTTCTGCCACTTCTCCAGGATCTCCCACTCTTGTTCCGAAAAATATAAGGCCACATCATCAAATGTCATTGTCACCTGGAATCACAAACAGTACATACATACATTTTCACTTTCAGGCTACCATCTTTCTTTTTTTTTTTTAATTTTTTTTTTCAACGTTTATTTATTTTTGGGACAGAGAGAGACAGAGCATGAATGGGGGAGGGGCAGAGAGAGAGGGAGACACAGAATCGGAAACAGGCTCCAGGCTCTGAGCCATCAGCCCAGAGCCCGACGCGGGGCTCGAACTCACGGACCGCGAGATCATGACCTGGCTGAAGTCGGACGCTTAACCGACTGCGCCACCCAGGCGCCCCCAGGCTACCATCTTTCAATGCCCATGTCTTTAAGAGACGAGAAGAAACTATATTAAAATCTCATTCTTGGGCGCCTGGCTGGTTCAGCTGGTGGAGCATGCAACTCGTGATTTCGGGGTTGTAACTTTGAGCCCCACAGGGCTGTAGAGATTACTTAAAAATAAAATCATATAGGGGCACCTGGGTGGGCTCAGTTGGTTAAGCCTCGGACTTCAGCTCAGGTCATGATCTTGTGGTTTGTTGCTTTGAGCCCCACGTTGGGCCCTGTGCTGACAACTCAGAGCCTGGAGCCTGCTTTGGATTGTTTCCCTTTTTCTGCCCCTCCCCTGCACGCGTGCTGTCTCAAAAATGAATAAATGTTAAAAAATTTAAAAAAAGAGGGGCACCTGGGTGGCGCAGTCGGTTAAGCGTCCGACTTCAGCCAGGTCACGATCTCGCACTCCGTGAGTTCGAGCCCCGCGTCGGGCTCTGGGCTGATGGCTCAGAGCCTGGAGCCTGTTTCCGATTCTGTGTCTCCCTCTCTCTCTGCCCCTTGCCCGTTCATGCTCTGTCTCTCTCTGTCCCAAAAATAAATAAACGTTGAAAAAAAAAATTAAAAAAAAAAATTTAAAAAAAGAAAATCATATACATATATATAATTATATGTGATATATATATTCTATCATTCTCTCTGGCTGGTGCCATGAACAATGAATGTAATAAAGGGGTCACAGAAGTCTATTTGACCCACATAGTGAATTAATGACCAGCAGGCCTTTGAACACATGCATCACCTAAAGGGGGATCCTTTACTTAGCAACAACCAATTATTGGTATGCAAGACTTTTAAAAAACTTTTTATTTTGAAATATAGACTCAGGAAGTTGCAAAGATAGTACAGTACAGAAAGGTTCCCTGTGTCCTATACCTGATGGGGGAGGAGGTGAGAAGCGGAAGGGGAAAAAATGCATTACATTAGTAAGATTATTAGATATGAAAATCTCAGTAAGGGTAGAAGCAAAACTTGCATAAGTAGGCAGGTTATATACTTAGTTGAATTTAACAGAGTTTCCTGGATTGAGCCCAGGATATGCCTATTAAACTCTAAAACCGGTGTTGAAATTTCCCATCAACCACCCCAACTGGTTTCAAATTTTCTGTCATTTCCTAGAGGGAGCAGTCTCCAGTTCCTTTCATTCCCAGTCTTCCTTCCCCTAACTTTTTTTTCATCCGTTTATACAGATGAGCTTCTCTGAGGTTACATCCATCAGCAGAGCACAGAACGAGAACCCAAGAGAAACCAAAGAACTCCGACACACGGCGGAAACAGCGGGTGACAAGAGGGGACGCTTGGTTAGATCCTGAATTTCTCCCAGTGACCCCTTTTCTTCCTATTCCATTGCAGAAACAACCTGAGCACCAAAACCGTCCCTTTACCCGCCGGGGGCTCCGAGCTCAGTCCAGGGTCACGCACGGACAGTCCCCCACCGCCTCACTGCCCGAATCGGGACCCCACACCAGATCGCGACAGGGACGAGTTTCGACAGGGCCCGCATCCTCCAAGGGCCCCTCTTACCGGAGCCAGCTCAGCCATGGCCCTTCACGGCCCCCGCCTCTGCCCCTGCCTTCGCCGCTGCCCTGGAGACGCCGAGCGCACGGGTCACCGCCCACCCCCACCCCCGGCACCGCCCACGGCGCGCGGCCTCCCACCCCCGTCCAGCCCCGCTAGGCCCAGCCCCCGCGCGGTGCACGCTGGGACTCGCGCCCGGCCCGGCCCCACAGCGCCCCCTGCGGCCGGGAGGAGCCAGCGCCGTCCCCGGGTCCTGGCGCTGGGTCTGGGTCTCCGAGCGAGGAAGACAGACAGAGAGGCACTGAACGGAGCTGGAGAGAGGAAGACGGAGAGGCGGACGTGGGGCTTCAGCTGCAAGTGGGGAGAAGGCTCGCTGTTCACTGAGCCCTGGACGGAGAGGGGGCGCGGGGCTGGTTCCTCCCCGAAGCGGACCCCAGGAGAGGGGAGGATCATCTGTGAGGCCATCCTGGGAATGAAGCGAGGGAGGTGAGCCGGCCCAGGGGGTCAACGAGCAGGTCCCTGTCATAGGAAATGGGGAGTCCGTCCTGCCAGGGATTCTGAGAGTGTGCAACCCCCACCCCCCGCCCCCGCTCAGAATCCTCCCGCCAGGGGCCAGAAGGCAGGCAAGTCATCCACCAAATCCTGCTTCTTCAGTGAAACCACTTCTGGTCTACCTTGGACACAAGTCGAAACCATATTTAACAGTAGGTTTTTGTAGATACGTCTCAAGTTGAGGGCGTGCTCTCCTATTCCGAGTTTGCTGGGAATTGATATTGTGAGTGGGTGTTTTGTTTGGCCCAAAGCCTTTTCTGCATCAATTTATATTTTTATGTGGCTTTTCTCTCTTAAACAATTAATACGGTCGGTTAGATAGATTGATTTCTGAACGTTGAACCAGCCTTGCATTCCTGCCATAAACCTTATGGGGAAGACCTGTGGAGGGTTGAAATGCTACTCATCTTACAAGCCGACAAATCAGCCTGCCATAGTTTCATAGGCGTTGACAATAGACAAAATTCATGGGTCATAGGCAGCTTGAGATTTATGTTCACATCGTTCATTACCTTGTCCTCAAGTCCCATAGGAATGATATGGGGTGGCCCAGGTGGATCCTGCACACATGATGGCTTTGTGTTGCAGGTGAAGAACCCAAACCATGGCGTTCCCACTCTTACAGTGGAGCTGTTAGCAATTTGCTCGACTACTCTGATCATCTCTCTTTTATTGTTAATAACGACACTAAACGTAGTTATTAAAGTACTTGGATTTAGATCTTTTTTATTATTAGTCTTCTGCTTTTCCTCTCTGCCTTTCATTTCTCTGTTTTCTCTTCTGGATTATTTGACTTTGTTTTAGTATTGCATTTTAATTTACTTATAATTTTCACTGTCTTTTTATTTTTTTTTAATTAATTTATTTATTTTGAGAGAGAGAGAGAGAGAGAGAGAGAGAGAGAGAGAATCCCAAGCATGCTTCACACTATCAGCGCAGAGCCCCGTGTGGGGCTCAAACTCACAAACCGTGACATCATGACCTGATCCGAATTCCAGAGTCTGGGGTTTAACTGACTGAACCACCCAGGTGCCCCTCACTGTATCTTTTTATATTCTATTTCGTAGTTGCTTTAGGAACTCTAAAATATGCATTTAATTTTCTTTTACCGTTTTTAAAAGTTTCTGCATTTATTTTAAGAGAGACAAAGAGACCACAAGCAGGAGAGGCCAGAGAGAGAATCCACATGCCGTCAGAAGCAGTCTCCACACGCCGTCAATGTGTAGAGCCCAATGTGGGGCTCAGACCCATGAAACTGTGAGATCATGACCTGAGCTGAAACCACATCAGTCCCTTAATCGACTGAGTCACCCAGGTATCCCTAATTTTCTTTTACTTTGTTAAAAGAGCAGCTTTATTTGGATATAATTAGTATACCATACAATTTTCCCATTTAAAGAGCACAGTTCAATGACTTTTAGTCTATTCACAGCTTCTTCCTTTTTTCTTTCTTTTTAAAATAATAGACTTTTTAAAAATCAGTTTTAAACTCACAGAAAAATGAGTGTTAAATACAGAGCTCTCATTAGTCCCCCACCTTCCCTCGATTTCCCATATTAAAACAAGCATGCAGGATTTTCAAGATTAAGAAAATCCAAGGAAACAGAACTGCACAATGACCTATATAAAATTCTAACTGTAGAAAATTTAAAAGTCTGATTGTCTCAGAGCTGATTGGACTGACTTGCAATGTTATCATCAATATAAGAATGTTACATGTCTCCCATCCTTTGCCAACATTGTTTTCAAGATTTTATTTTTAAGTAATCTCTGCACCCAACATGGGGCTGGAACCCACAACCCGGAAATGAAGAGTCACTATGCTCTACCAACGGAGCCAGCCAGGCACCCCTGCCAACATTTTTCATTTGCTCTGACATCCATTTCATGTAATCATATTTTAATTTTGTTTTGATTTGCATTCATTTCACAAAAATTGATTGACGCTGTGTTCTTTTCTAAATAGAAAAATTTATCCACGTAATTGTAGATTTACATGGGAGTATAAGAAATAATACAGAAACATCCCATGTTTTACTGGTACGCATTTGTATGTGTGCGTTTGTTTAATTTCATGAGGCTGTAGGCTTTTCTATGCACTAATTTCTTTTTCCTCCTCTGTAAACTCTTCATTTCCTATTTGGCAATTCACTGGTGGATCCTAGAAAACTATTTTACCTATTTAAATAAATTTCATATCACATCACAGTCACATCACAAAATCCAGTGGTTTTTCTCATATTTTTTTTATTCAGTAGCTTGACTTATTAGGTTTTATAAAATGTATATATTGAGATGTATTCATTTTTGTCTTTGAATTTCTTAGAATTTCTCTCTATACAAGAATTTGTCTTTGAATTGTCTTAGACACTCTGTACATATAAGGTAGGGTAACAAATTACGGAAAGGATTTTTTTTTTCTTTGCGTAAACTCATTGGCCATGTGGAATTATTGCAGGATATGGTGTTAGATGTGGATATGGAATAATTTTTATTTGTTCTAATATCCACTTTTACCACGTGGAAAGCCTTTGTCCTGTTTTAGTGAAATTCACTTTATGCCGGTAACTAGAAGTGCTCATGAGCCTTTAAAGCCAATGGAGGGGTACCTGGGTGGCTCAGTCGGTTAAGCAGCCAACTTTCACTCAGGTCAGGTTCGTGAGTTCGATCCCCGCGTGGGGCTCTGTGCCGACAGCTTGGGCCTGGAGTCTGCTTTGGATTCTGTGTCTGTCTCTGTGCCCCTTCCCTGCTCGCACTCTTCTCTCTCTCTCTCTCTCTCTCTCTCTCTCTCTCTCTCAAAAATAAATAAACAGTAAAAACAAAATTTTAAGCCAGTGGAGCCCCTTCTTCTTTATGAATGTCAAGGACACTCACTGACTTCCTTAGTGGTTCCTCTATTTCTCCAGCCTTCTGCCTTCTCCTGCTGCCGGTGAGCTTGGCCGGGTCAGCTCCACATCTTTACTGTTGTCATTATAGCCAAGGACTATTTCTCCTAAAGCTGCTACCAGGTCCTCAAAGTTAGGGGCATGTATATTTTTTCCTGGAACGATTACAGTTTTCAGTCTAAGTAAGGTCTGTCCTCTGGGTTTACTGTGTCTTTTACTGGACACTCAGATGATATTCCCAGGGGACCAGAGAAGTGAGCACCTGAGGGACACCACCACATGTTACACACTTGCTGTGTACATGACAGCCCAGTATCTTGATGTCTCTTCCATGTGTTCAGAAGGAAAGAAATCACGAAGAGGCACGGATGCAGCTATTTTTGTTAAATTCTGCTTACTTTCCTAAACTATCCATTCCAGGTCAGCCTCTCTGCTCTCCACCAGGAATGAAGGTTTTCCACTACATGGCCTGACGAGAATCTCGCCCCAAGCTTTAGGCCATCCCAAGACAGCACATCTCCGTTCCCCAGAGTCCTTTCTGGCTGACTTCAGGAGGTCCTAACCCACAAAGAAGCCAGCTATGGTGGAAAGACCTTGAATTTTAGAGTGAGACCTGGGTTTGGGTGTTGGCTCTACCATTTGCCATCTTTGTGACATCAGGCAAGTCATTTGAATACCTGTAACTTTGGTTTCCGTATCTGAAGGGTTGCTGTAATAATTAAGTAAGGGGGGGCGCCTGAGTGGCTCAGTTGGTTGAGCGTCCGACTTTCGGCTCAGGTCATGATCTCACAGTTTGTGGGTTTGAGCCCCGCGTCGGGCTCTGTGCTGACAGCTCAGAGCCTGGAGCCTGCTTCGGATTCTGTGTCTCCCTCTCTCTCTGCCCCTCCCCTGCTCAAGCTCTGTCTCTCTGTCTCAAAAATAAATAGAAACATTAAAAAAAAATTTTTTTTTAATAATTAAGTGAGATGACATAGATAAAGCACTTTCACCACAGTATCTAGCATTTATTCCTCCTGGCCTTGCCTCCTTCCCATCTCCCTCAACTTTAGATTGTCTAGTATGCTGATAGGCACTTCTTTCACCCTACGTGGAAGTCTCCTCGGTTCCCTTCTCTCGACTCTTCTTTTCTCCCCTAACCTGAATCTCTTGGTCCTGTGTTATTTCCCCACGAATGATTCAGCATAAAGCCAACCTAATAGGCAAAAAATCTTACAGAGTCAAGTCGCCTTTGACATTTCTTAAGTTGCTCCTAAAGTATGGTATAAATGGCTTTATGCAGTTCTGCACAGCATTTCTTATATACACCGATGTTTCAGAACCACTGACTTAGATCAAGGGAAGGAAGGAAAGGAAAGCCCTTTTTTAGATGTGTATGCATTCAAACCATTCTGCCTCTAAGATAATCATCAAATCTCTGGAGGTAGTGAAGCAACAAATGGAGAAAATGAAAGTGTTGCTGCTTGCCTATTGGGCCTACTCCATTCCACATTAATATTAAATGTCTATAACCTTAACAGAGTCAATAGACTTGTTTAGTTAGAGGATTACCCCACCTTATAAGCACACGGGATGTGACTTAAGAAGTATCTATCACGGGGCGACTGGGTGGCTCAGTCGGTTGGGCGACAGACTTCGGCCCAGGTCATGATCTCATGGTCTGTGAGTTCCAGCCC